TTTATTTTCAGATTTACCAATAATATTCCACATTGTAGCACATCAATTTGTGATAATCAAACTTGATACAATGTATGACAAGCCGACTCAATACAATTCAAATTACACGATACGTGTAACCCACTAATATTCATTAATCGTTGTGCTTTAAAATTTGTGTGTAATATAATATTATGAATATTAAAATACCTACTAATATTATTTTGGCTAAAGAAATCAGTATTTAATCATTTATTTATGTGAGACAGTGAATAGTTATACCTTATAACCTCTTAACACAATACTTCATTCTAGAATATAAAACCAGATTAATGACTTCTCAGGTTGGTTTAGTATTCAAATATAGCGGACCTTCCTGTTAATTATCTTAGCGGTACCTATGGTGTTAGCTATTGCAGAGGGGTATATAATATAAATGGTATTATTATTTTCTAACAATTAACAAAAAAAATTTATGAATAATGTATATTTTTTTATTTTTAATAATAAATAAATAATGTAATCCAAAAATATATTACTATCCAAATGGAAGTTCATTGCGTGTTTCTAAGACAAACTAATTTTTAATGATTCAAATATATATTAATAATACGTGAATATAACCATTGATATTCATTGGAAATTGATAACACACATAAAAACGTATTCTTGAAACCATAACACGATGACATGCACATTTTTTTAATTATATTTTTTTTTAAAGTAGGTATACAAACATTCACATAATAAATGCTATTGTAATATTTACATTTCATACGCTGTCTGTTAAATCAATGCATACAGAAAGTATAATAAGTTATATGTATATATATATTTTAGATAATATAACTTTTCAGCTGTTATATGTTCCTTTAGTAAGCGTCCGACCCCCTCGTTTTCGCATTGTTTCAAAAAAAATATCCTCTCACTATAATAATTTCCGTCATCTCTCTTATACGTTTATTATTATTATTCTTTTTCATCCTTATTGTTGCAATGACTCTTTTATACATCCTGGTCGAGGGGTCGGCCTCGTTTAATTTCCCTTACAATTCTTTTCTAGGGACGGAGTAGAAAATATTCACGGCTCAAATGACAAATTATTGTGGGAAAAATCTGAACGACAGGTGGTACGCACAAATATTTAAAAAATAAATGTAAAAAATTAACAATTATAATAAGTATCGAAAAATTGTAGAAAAATAGATGGTAAAAAAAAAAAATAACTGATTATAAAATTTAATTCTGACAATAAGCATATAATAGAAAATATGTTACTTAAGCTTTAGTTCTATATATTAAACATTGTCGGTATGAAATAAATCAACTTGTATAATAATTATAGTTACAATAGTAAGTAGAATATTTCAAATGTTTTATAATTTTTCAGCATTCGATTAAGTAAAATTATGATCCAAGTGAAATTTATGTTCAGAGTACATACACATATAATAATAATATAAATCCAACTTTTCCCATGAATAACCTGATAAAAGCTTGTTTACACTTTGAATACTTGGAATACTTGGAAGAATCAACAAAAATCATAATTTATAATGTCATATAAGTAGTTTAATACTTGTAACGAGTTATTTAGTCAGAGTTCATCTATTTATTTATTTACCTAATAATTTGAGGCGTTTTTAATTTAATCTAATTAATTGAAATATTAGTGTCTAATAAAAAAATAAAATAAAAATATTATGCTTAACAGAATAAAATAAATATATAATATTTCCACAGCAAATGTTCATGATAATAAAAGTGATTATTTATGCTGAAAAATATTTAATATGATATTTAATAGGATTCCATGAAAAATGAAATTACGTGGCATTATTATATTGTAATACCAATTTTTCATTGAAATGTAAATGTATTTATTTATAATTAAAACCTTACACAAATTTAACCAACTGTAAAAAAGAAATAATTTACGATTGGTGAGACTACATTAGGAGAACTTTAACCGTCATTTGTATTTAAATTTTGCCTTTTATACATTTTTTTTTTTTTATCTCAGTTTAATACGGTGGTATAATATTTTAAAAAATAAAAAGTTATCATTATTAAACTTTGGTTTAGAATTTCAGATACATTTAATAACTGTTATAATCGAGAGAAATTTAAGCCATGAGTTTGAATGAAATAATATTTGGAACCCGTCCGTTCAGATAACGTTCAACAAAATACGATTTCCTCTGGGAAAACTAGTACTAATCAAGCGGTGACATAAAACAGTTGCTTTTAGTGTTAGTATAATTAAATTCTGGTCCAACAACTTAATTTATACACTGTATAAATGCAAATAAAACGTGGCAAATAACTAGTTTAAGTGAAGATGAATAAAATAAATCAATAGTTTTTTTTTTTTTTTCAAGATATTGATTACAGTTGTCAATCAAAAAAACATTATTATAATAAAATAACGAAATTGATATTAAATATTTTATAAATGGATTTAAGATAATTCTAATAGGCTAAAAATAAAATCCATCAACTTGATTGCACCAATAAATACGCAAAATATAACTATCGAATGCCATAATTATAAAAAGAAAAACTCGTTAAATGCTCAATATTTTAAAACAATGAAAAAAAAAACGTGCTTTTTATATGCATTATATTTATTGGAAAATTTTTGTAAAACTTTATTTTACAAAATAAATCTTAAATAAATAGTATCTGTATTCATCAAACAATTTTATAGATTTAGTTATAGACATAGTATTAATTTAATAAATAGTTTTATTTATATCATGAAAATTCTATGAGATGAGTGTTACAATAAGTCAACAATTGTATACAAAAAATATTAATAGATTAAAAAGGATCAAACTTTTTCTATATAAGACTTTTATATGATTCACTTAGAATCCGTTTTATGACGTCATGGTAATTAATTTTCAGTTCTATACAATAATATATCTCAAAAAATTCGTTCAATCCTCAACATTCCAAGATAAATGAAAAAAAAAAAAGTATTATAGACAATTAAATAAACGAAGTTCTTTTTATCTTAAGCTTCATACAGTTGATTACATATTTTAGAGATTAACCATAAGGTTAGTTATATTATATTATATTGACTATACCTATATTATATTATATTTATAATCAATAGTATATTTCCAATATTATTTATATACACAAACGAAACAGTAACACAGCACACGACAACTACACCTATACAGCATCGTAGGTAGCGGACAACGGCGACAACTGGGCATCAGAACTATTATTCAAATCAGTCTGGGAAACATTAAATTTAACGTTTATTGTTCTATAACTAATATACGTTCAGACAGGTTATTAATTACTGGCAGCTGGCATTGTGCAAGCGAACGCGGTAAAGGTTTACGGGAAAAACGCAGGGGACACGCAAAGGGCGCGCGGATAGAAAGGGACCATATAACAACTAGGACGAAGTTCCGTTTGGGGATTCGATCGTGACGCGTTTATATGTATTGTATGTGTTATGTGTATGTTTGTGCGTGTGCGTGTGTATTTGTGTACATGACTATGTGTAGGTGTATATTTGTATATATGAGTACGTGTGCATGTGTATTTGTGTGTATGAGTATGTGTGAGTGTATAGTTGTGTATATGTGTTCGTGTATCTGGGTATTTGTATGTATATATATGTGCGTATACGTATATGTGGGCGAAGCGGTATTGTGCTAAATCCCCCCTCCCTACGGTCGTTGTACTGCTCATCCTTATTGGCGGTTTCGACGAGCCGTTATTAATGTCAACCCTGCACGCGAGTGTAAGAGAACTCAGTCAGGGGACAGACAGGTGTGAAGGGGGATTTAACCAACCACCTTTGGACCCAATTGCGTTATAGGTTCTACCTACCACCCCGTATCTTTCCTGTTGGCATTATTGGATTTTCGCCAATGTCTAATACACGCACACACACACACACACACACACACACACACACACACACACACACAC